GCCTGCTCCCAGGAGGAAAGGACAGAGGACCTGGCCCATTGGAGGTGATAGGTGATGCCCTGGACCTGGTCAGACAAAGGATCTGCTGCCCGAGGCTGGCAGGCTGCTCAATGTCCACTGTTGTCCCCTGTGAAGTGGGCACAGTGGCATCTGACTCTCCCCGAGGACAGGGCCCATCCAACAGGAAGGAAGCGGTGGCTGTGCAGGAGATGGGTGAAGGTGCTGTGTGGAGGATGGAGTGTTTGCGTGTCCTGCTCTCTGGCAGTGAGGCCCCAGTGGGAGTTGGACACCTCAGTCCTGGTCCCACATCTGTGTTTGGTGCAGGATGAGAATGGGAGCTGGGGTCTGCACACTGCCTGGTAGGGCTGTTCTGGGAAAAGGTCCAGGGTGCTGATGGCTAGCTGGGTCCAGGGTGCTGGCTCCCCTCTGGAGCTTTCCCTCCTCCCCCATGAGGCTTTCTCCTCTCTCTCTCCTGGAACAGTAGTTGCTCCTGGCTGTTCTTGCTGTTCTGAGCAACTCTTCACACTGAGGTCAGAGATCTTTCTAGGAGGTAGATCTGACAAACTTATACCCTCTCCTCCATTCTCTGCACAGGCTGCCCCCTTTTATATGGTTGTCCCTAGACTGGCCCCTCATATCCTCAGATGGCTTTCTCTGGGAGCCTGGGAGGCTCCCATGTTGTTCCTGTGGATTGGGAAGTGTGGAGATCTGAACCCTGAGAGCCTGTGCTGGGCCCCTAAGCTAGTGCTTCCCCTGTGTCCTTTGACCTGAGCTTCAACACCCCCTTCTGGGCCTCTGTGTCCTCCCCTGGGGTTAGTGCTCATGGACAGACCGCCACAACCCTGCCTACCTTAGGCCCAGAGCCCTGTTTATTCTTAGGGTAGAAGCACCCTGGAAGACACAGTCTGCAGGTTCTGGGCTGCTGGTTGGCTGTAGGGGATTCCTGGGGAGGGCTGGGGGAGCAGAGCTACAGGACAGGAAGGCCAAGGTTCTTGCAGTTGTGGCAAAGGCCTTACTGAGACCTGGCCAGGCCCTGGGGCAGGAGACCCTGAAAGGATCCTCAGAGTGAGGACCAGGGGGCAGGACCTCAGACAGTCCCAAGCGGCACTGGCTGTGAGCTCCCTAGGCTGGGGGAGTCCCACCTGTGGTGGGGAAGGTCTTGAAGGGGAACATTCCCAGAGCAGAACAGCAGGGTCTAGGCCCCAAGGTGGGGTCCGTGTGGTCCCTTGTCAGATGGGAACTCTCACCTCTCACAAGCAGATAGAGCCCTTCCCAGCACAGGGCACATCTGCCCTGCTGTCTGTGGGATGCAGCCATGGAGCCCTGGTAGAGGCAGGTGGTGCTCTTGAGGAGGCTGGGTTTGCGGCAGGCTGTGGCCTGGTTGGGGTGGGGGATGCCCAGTGAGGCCCTGAATAGGTGTCCTCACAGATGCCTGTCTGACTGATGATTTCGTTCATCCTGGGAATAGCCCATTGCGTTTGGGTTGATGAGAACAGACCCTCGCTAAGCAGATGGATCTGAAATAGTCGACAGTGGGGAATCTTTCCCGTGGACCTTGTTCTTGGGCTACTGACTCAGCTTTTATCTATAAAACATTCTCCTGGAAGTGGATGAACCAAGCTAGTCGCCATCTGGAAAATATGTCGTCTGAACGGACTGCAGGCCTGCTCTCGATGCCTACAGTCCGTCTGGTGTCTCCTGGGTTGCTTGGCCTGGAAATCCCATTATTTCACAGGCTTTTCTTGGCACCTGCTGGGAGGGGGTATCCAGTCCAGGTCCAGTGAGCTGGTGCGCGGGGCAGTCAGCAGGTGCAGGGAGGAGGTGACAGAGGCCACCCTGTCCTCACAGATGCTGCGTTGTTCCTGTGTTCCTGGTGCCTATTCCTCAGTGGCCAGGGCCCTGCTGCCTGGCCTTCTCTTGAACGCTCTGGAGCCATGATGGGAAGAATTCTCAGTCAATGGCCATGACTACCTGTGGACTGCTGCGGACATGCTTTTGTCCTGGCGCCATGGACTCTTGGGTGGGAAGTCAGGGAGGAGATTGCCATCATGGGGTCTCATGCGGCGTGTCTCTATCCAATAAGAGGTCATGAGGCAGGTGCGTAGAGAGTGATGGCCAGTTGAGGATACAGGGAGTAAATAGTATCTACAATCCCAATGGTTTCAGTCACCAGTCTAGGTGCTCTGTATGGCCACCCAGGCAGACCCGTGTGTCTGGGGAGCTTGATGGTCCTGGGGGCTGCATGTGGCATGCTGGCAGCCCACCCAGCCCTCACACACACACATAGTCCTCCACTTGGCATTGGCTGGCAGTGCTTCAGAACCAAGGTGATAAAGGCACGTGTTGCCGGAGGCCTTTAGAGTGCAAGGTCTTCCCAAGTAATTGTGTAGGGAGCACGGGTGAGCAGCTGTCCCACCCCTGCCCCTGCCCACTGTGGAGGGCAGGTTGTGTTGGCCATGGGCAGCAGGGACTGAAATGGGAGCTACGGAGCTAGCGGACTGCCAGCCATGGATGGACCCCACTCATCTCAGCTTCCAGAGTGCGAGGTTGCAGGCTGGGTGAGGGCTAAATGAGGAAGGTCTGGGTTTGAGGCTGGGCTCAGCTCCCACCAGGCTCCTTGACCTCAAGCCCCACTGCCTCCTCATCCGAAGGGCCACAGATCCCCGGAGGAAGGGTGAAACCAAGAAGGGAGGGGGCAGGAGGACTTCTGCTACCTGGCTGTTGTATCAGGTGTCTTTCCATTTTTACTTTTGTTTGTTGTGGGGCTTGAACTCTGGACCTGGGTGATGTTTCTGAGCTCTTTTGCTCCAGGCTAGTGCTCTACCACAGCGCCTCATCTGTTTGTTTGTTTGTTTTTTTTTTGAGTAGTTAATTGGAGATACGAGTTTACTGGGGACTTTCCTGCCAAGCTGGCTTTGATCCGCGATCCTCAGATCTCAGCCTCCTGAGTAGCTAGGGTGACAGGTGTGAGCCACCGGCACCCAGCCTTGTATCAGTTTTGTTGACCCCAGCCAAGGCCAGATGCCAGTTCTGAGTGACAAGTGTCCACTGGCCTGCCTGAGAGGGAGAATGAACACGTGTGATTGTCAGATGAGAACTCTAAATGTGGCAGGGAAAAGGCCAGTGTTTTCAAAGCTGGACAGGAAAGTGTGCTCTCCCTGTGCACAGACAGGTGACTGACCTATGCCAGCCTTCCTGTGGGGCAGGGCCACTGGAGGGTCAAGTGGGCTGGTCAGGGGCTCAGTCACTGTCATGATGGGAAAGAAGGGAACAGATTAACCAAGGCACATGCTTGCACACACTTCTCACACAATGCACACACATGTACATACATGCACACACAACTCACTCACACATTTTCCCCTGATCTATATACATTGTAAAAAAAAAAAAAGGCAATCAAATAACAAAGAGATAGAAAACCCAGCACGGAAAGCTTGCTTTTCTTACTGGATATACTGAATATATGGGGTTGGGGGGGCGGGGCTGCCTGTGTGCAGATAGACTCTCACACTCTCTCCTGCCCCCTCCGTGGGACCTCTGTGCTGGTATGCAGCTCACCCACGCAGCCCAGAAGCTTAGCCATTCTCAGGTCAGCATCAGCAGCTTCCAAGTGAAGACCTGGCTAGGCCATGTCAGCAAAGCACTCTCTGTCCACCTTCCCTACTCTGATTCCCAGGATGATGAGAATTAAGGGAGCATCTGGGGAATTTCACACCAGGTCTGGACACCCTAACTGGAGGGGGTAGGGGAGCCCTGTCTTGCACTATTGCACCATCGCTGGCTGAAGGATTTGTTCAAAGGCAGCTCGGATGGCTCTGTTTGAAAGTCTCTTTAATTCACTTTGATTCCTCCTTTCTAAACACAAACCCTTGCAGCCCTTCAAAGAGGGTGAGTCAGGCTTCAGCTGGGATTCCTGGGCTGGGAGAAGTCTGGGGGAGACTCCACCCCTGCGGGAGCTGCTGGAAGGGGTGGACCCCAGACAGGGCCTCGGGAGGTGAAGGGGAAGCCCCCAGCCGTTTCTGAGCTGTGGACTGCTGCGGAAGGAGGGCAGAGATGGGCCACTGGGCCTCGGGCCGGAGGGCCAGGGTGCGGTGAGGGTGGGTGAGGGTGGAGTTTGGCGCCGCACTTCCCCTTAGTAACCCAGATGTTCCATCTGAGGACTCATTTGGAATGTGGGACCCCTTCCTCCCCCACCCCCGTCGCCCACGTGGGGAGTCAAGGTCATCTGTAACCGTGGGGGGGGGGCAGTGCTGGGCGCCCCGCGAGGCTGGATGGGAACTTGAGTCTCCACCCAGAAGTGGATGGAGCTCCGGCTGCTGCCCCGCAAGACAAAGTGAGGCCAGGACGCCTGACCCAAGGGGTTTAAACCTCGGGGCTCCCTCCGCACTGGTTCTCGGGGCCCGGCCAGGTGCGGGCGCCTGGGGCGGGGAGGGTGGGGGACCCGCGCGGGCCGCCCCCGGACCCGCCGTGCCGCCGTCCCGCCGGGCGCGGGGAGGGGGAGCCGGGGCCCCGCCCCGCGCCCCGCCCCGCGCCCGCCCGGCCCCGCCCCGGCCCGCCGCGGTCTCCACCCCCTCGCCCGATGCGCCCAGTGGGAGGCGGGGGCCGGCCTCGCCGAGCCCGGCGCCCGGCTCTGATTTGCTGCGCGCGTCGGGGATCGACAGCTTCCACGGGGGTCGGCCTGGAGGAGGGAGGGGAGACGGGGGAGGGGAAAAGTGCGGGGCGCCCGGGGCGAGGTCCGCAGTCCACGTTCCCGCGGCGGGCGCACGAGCTCACTCCGGCGGGAGCGCCCACGGGGAGCGGGTGGCGGGGCGGCGGCGGCCAGGGGAGGCGAGGAGGACTGGAGGGGGCGGAGGAGAAGGCCAGGCGCGAGAGAGCGAGAGGGAGCGAGGGAGCGAGAGAGCGAGGGAGCGAGCTGGGTCCCGGCCGTCCCGAGGGCCCAAGGCGACCCCCGCCCGCGCCCGCCCGCCCCTCGCCAGCCGCCGCCGCCGCGGAGGCCCCGGGCGGGCCGCCGAGCTCTCTATGAGTTCGTAAAGTTGTGCGGTCCTCGCTGCGTCCGCCGCCCGGCCGTGCCCCGCGCCCCCCGTGCGTCCCGCGCGCCCCCAGCCCGCGCCCCGCCGCCAGCATGGACGTCCACACCCGCTGGAAAGCGCGCAGCCCCGGCGCCCCGCCGCTGCCCCCGCCGCCGCTGCTGCTGCTCCTGCTGCTGCTGTGGGCGCCGCCTCCGAGCCGCGCAGGTAAGGGCGCCGCGGGGGCGCGGGGGGCCGGGGGTGCGGGGGCCGGGGCGCGGGGGGCCGGGGCGCGCGCGGGGACCCGGGCGCCGCTGTCATCCCGCGCGCCTCCGCCGCCGGCCTGTGGAAAGCTCGGGCCGAGCCCACGGCCGCTCGTGGTGGGGGGCCCGGGAGAGGGGCACGCGCCCGCACAAAGCCCCGCCGGCGGCAGGCCCCCCTCCCCAGCAGAGGGAAGGCCCGCGCGTCGGTTCCGCCCGAAGTGGGCAAACTTTTGTTCGGAAGCTCGCACTCTGCGTCCCGTGCCCCTCGCGCCACACAGCCCTTCAGCAGGACGTCCTCTGGTGAAATCCGGGCAGGGTCGCCCCCTAGAGTCCAGCCCGTCCGTTCCGGCGGGACTCCGGGGTGGGGTGGGGGAATCCCACAAGTTTGAGCCCCTAGCCTGGAGCACCCTCCAGGAACCCTCTCCCTCTCGGCTGGGCTGGCTCTCTGTTTCCTAGGGGACAGGCTGCGGCTCTTGCCTTTCTTGGGGACAGTCTGCTTCCTTGCGTGTGCAGGGCACTGGGAGCCCTAGGGATTGGTGGGACCCCAAGTCTCCTTGCCCCTAGAAGGCCGTCCCCTCTCTTCCCCCCTCCCCCGGGGGTAGTGGGCGATTTGCTGCCCAAAGTTGGGATGCATGGAACAAAGCCAGGAGAGGGCCTTGGAGCAGGCGGAGAGTGACTCAGACGATGTGCAGATGTGTGCTTCCCCCGCCAGGGTGGGCCTTTAGAAGGACCCTGCTTCCGGCAGGGCTCTGCGAACTCACTGACTGTCCCTGCCTAGACGCCCGTAGTTCCAGCACTCTGAGGACCGGCCTCCCCGCACAGGAGGTTAGCCCCAGGCACAGGAAAGTGCCCCGGCTCTCACCGACAGGTGGAGGTGAAGGCCGCAGGTGGCTGTTGCAGTTAGGAGGCTCAGCTGCCCCTGCCAGCCTCTGCCCCTTCATTTGTGATTTGGAGACACATCTGAAGAATCACTTTCCACTGCTGATTAAAACCCCTTTCCTTTTCCCTGACCAGGGTGGGTGCTCCATGGGCTCTGGTGGACGTTCAGGAGTGGGGCAGAGGCTCTGGGGCAGGAGGGGGAAGTCTGGCCTAGGGTCCAGCGTCTGGGATCTTACTGCTGGGTGGTTGCTCTACCCCAAGAGTTGGGACTAAGTTTTTTCCAGGGGTCAGCTGAAGGAGGGAGGAGAGAAGAGGCCCCAGAAATGGGTGTGAAGCAGAGTAGGAGGATGTGGTCCAGGGCCCCCACTGTTTCCCAGCCCTCTGAGGCCAGGCCTGGTGCTGATGTGCAACAATGTGTTTTTAGTTTGGAGTGTGTGTATGTGTGTGTGTGTGTGTGTGTGTGTGTGTGTTACATTTCGTCCCTGCTGCCCATCTGTCTGCCTTGCTCTGTCCTCATCCTCCTCCCTCTCAGATTTCCCTTCCTGACTGGGAACTGGCCCACGGTGGCAGCCTGGGTCGAAGCTGTGGCATTGGACATTTTTCTTCGGTTAAAACAGACTTTGGAAGCGTGCAAGAAGCTGGTTTTGTGGATGGGTGTCATAAACCTCTCTTCCCCTCCCAGGGTGGGTCCTAGTTTGAAGTCATTGTCCACGCGTGGCTGGAGCAGAGGGACTGGCTGTGTGCTTGAGACACAGGGGAGGCAGGAAAAGCGCCCTGCAGGCCCCTGGCTTCTCTTTTCTTGGAACTTGCCAGATGTTCTCTGGGTTTTCTGTGAACACAGCTCGCTCTCTGCCTCCTTCTTGGCCAAGTGTGTGAGGGAGTGAAAAGTCAGATTGCATTCGGGGCTGCTTAATGTCCTAGCGGGGAAGGAGAGGATGGGAAATGAAACGTGACCCCAATATTTGGAAATTGAGGTCATCTCCTCAGTGCACTATTGGTGGGCTCCGTTCACGTGACTGCTTTTTGCCATAATTCGCTAGGAGAGCTGGCCAAGTTCCGTGTGTTCTGACAGATATGGAATGGTTAAATTTCCTCTGACTCAATAAACTGGCAGCGTGGAGTCCTTGTCCGCCCCACACCCTCCCAGAAAGACAAGTTGTTGGAGGAGTCCAGCCAGCGGCCAGCAAGTTCCCTGAAGAAACCCTGTTGCTCACACAGCTACTTTCCCGTGGCTGGAGGCTGGTCCCACGGTCTCTGCCGGACCTGCGGCCACTCAGCTGTGGCCGCCAGGGCAGGGTGCCCTCCCAGTGTGGCATGCACAGCCCCTTCTCTAATGATGACACCCGGGCCTGTCCCTTCCACTCCACCCTGCTGATTATTTCTGGGTGCTCCCCACAGCCACACCCTTAGCCAAGCACAGCTGATGCCTGCTGGCGGTCCGTGCCTTCTGGCTGCTGGCCTCTCCCCATCCTTGCCTCTTCCCGGTACCCCCCTGATCTCCTTCCTGGGTTCCGGGCTTTGTCTAGTAGAGCTGGTGGGTTGGGAGGACCTGACCTGCCAGAGCAGTGGTAGTGAACCCCGATGAGCGTTAGGGCTGGGGCCTGTCATGCACACTCTGGTGCACAGTGTGCCACATGCAGAGTGGAGCCCGAGTTTTGGTGCCCGAGTTTTGGCACGGTGGACTGGGGCCCGGTTGTCCTTTCCCGCCACATGGGCCCTGGGAATAGCCCTGGAGACAGTTAACTCTGGCGATGGGTTTGCTGTGTGGGTCTGGCCCATGGTGACACAGGCTGCGTCGCCCCGCTGGGTCCTCACAGGGCTCCAGAGGGGCCAGGGCTCAGGCACTGGGGGGCAGGGCCCCCGGCCTCTGACCCCCACCAGGACTGCCTCCTGCCCTGGAAGGTGCTCTTTGCCTGCTCCCGGTCTCTACTGAGGCCCAGAGGAGGTGAAGGAGCCCTGAGTCCCCTCTAGCCACAGAGCCTGGGAGGCAGTGGGGCATGGTGGGGGGCGTGGAGGTGAAGGGGTCCCCCCTTCCCTCCAGCCCCAGAGCCCTTTCCTTTTACAACAAGGCCAACCTGGGTCATGCTGAGTCCCCTGGGTGGGGCTAACTTCCTGGGGTGCCCGGGGCTGCCTGGAGGAGGTGGTGTGGCACTGCTCTCCCTGTCCCCCCTCTCCTCTTGGGGGATGGTGTCCACCTCTGGTTTTAATCTTGCCCTGCCCCTCCTTCCTGGCAGGACACTCCATACTCTGTCCCTGAGCAGGAGGGGTTGATTACTGCTTCCCGTGTCTGGAAAGCCCCTGGCCCCTGCCTGCCTGGGGAGAGGGCAGGAGTGAGAGTAAGGGTCCCAGGAGCTCCCTAAATCCTCTCTCTGACAACCCTTCCCGTTCTGTCCTCCAGGGCTGGCATAATGGAAGCATCTGCATAGCTTTGCAGAGAAGCATGAGCCTGGCTTTGGTCCATAGGCTGAGTGTCTTTGCCTCCAAGGCTCTCAGATTGACTGGGCTGGACTGAGTCTCTGCCTCAGTTTCCCCATCCTAAAATGTGGATTCCCCCCTACATCTTTTGCTTTAAGGATGACTGGGAGACTGACAGAAATAGAACCTGTGAGGGATTCTGGGTGCCCAGTACCCGACACATGGGAAAGGGAGGCCTCCTTGTATATGCCTGCATTGCGAATGTCTGCATGTGACATGAGTGTACACACGTGTGCTCGTGCATGTAGAAGCATGCATGCAGGTGTTTACCCATTTGTTCCCAGGTGCTTCTGCTCTGCCTGAGCCCAGAGGGCCTCCTCTCCCTGTCAGGGGGTTTGTTTTGCTCTCAAGTGGGTGGTGCTCTGCTCTGTTCTCCTGTGGGATCTGCACATCTGGAGTCAGCACTCGCCGTGTTGGTTTTCTGGCCTGGTTCACAGATGTCCCAAGTTCCTGTCAGTGGGGTCTGCCTGGGGGCCCCTCTCATGGGCAGCACTGTGGCCGTGGCTGGCCTGCAGGCGAGGAGGGGAGGAATGGGAAGGGCAGGTGACCTAGATTCCCATCCTGGCTCCAACTCCTACCAATGGTGCATACAGTGGCCCGTGACTCAGTTTTCCCACCTAGAAAGCAAATGTGATGTTTGGGAGGGCTCAGTGCCTCGCTGACCCTTGCTCAGGTCTCTGAGGCAGCCAGAGGCTGGGCTGAGGGGCTGTTGCCTCTGCTCTGGGTATGATGCAGCCCCTCTCTATCCCGTGAAAGGGGTCACAGAGCAGGACCGGCAAGCCTACGGCATCCCCACTCAGTGCCAGCTCAAGGTCCTGAGGTTTGTCTTTGTGCAACCTGGACCAGACCAAGTACCAGGCCCTAACTCCACATATAGATGCCCTTCAAGGAGGGACTGAGGTTCGTAGCATGTCTCCCTAGAGGGCCCAGGTCCACCTGTGGCTGACTGTGGGATGTGGCTGGTGTCGTAGAAGGGGGCCCCTGTGGGAGGGGGCTGGGCCCTTGCCCGTGGGGGCCTACTGTTCCCGTGCATCCTGCCCAGCCCTGGGGAGGAGTTAGTGGATGGAATGAACAACCTATGGGATGGGGTGCACGCTCAGATGCACAGTGTAAGCAATGGGGTCACTTTGTGTCATCGTGCCAAATAGTCTCAGCCGTCAACTCCCCAACTTCCTGTCAGTACAGCAGTCATTTTTCTGGAAGATTCCCAGCCTTAGTAAAAAAACCCACATTAGTGGCAAATGCCACCATTGTTTGGTGACTCAGATCTAAGAAATGAAACCACAATCTGACCCACTTTTCTAAAAAGTAGTTGCTCAGAGCTCCGGGCTTGCACAGAGACGTGTGTGCCCATGGCCTGGGGCTCCTTTATTTTCTGGTTCCTGGGTCTCCATGGAAAATTTAGTGTTCATTCTTTCCTTTTCTGTCAGTGCCTTGGCATTTAGGGATTCTGGCAACCTCTTTAAGTGTCTTTAATAAATTCCACAAAATATCAAGATGGGTGCAGGTGACCCTGGCCTTGGAATAAATGGTGCTCTCCCATGTCAGCGTGTGTGGACAGTAGAGTGTGGGTATCACTCAATCTGACCACTGAGAAGCCAGGGAGGCCCC